TTGTTACCACATTTCAAGTCTCAATTGTCAACGAATCCATTGTGTCTCCCAATGACGCCTTCCAACTCATAGCACAACTAACATAAGTAGAGGCATAGCTGCTCAGTAGTTGACCATCTTTCAAGTTCCTTGTGTGACCCTGGTTCACAAACCTAGTTACAGCCACACTACCAAAACAACATCCTCCAAAAGGTACCCCAACGTCTATTGTCCTCATAAATCAAGAGAATCCACTTGACACCATCAAAATGCATACGTAGATTAATCATCTAACTTCTCCTGACTGCATGTGATAGATCAAGCTTAGTACTATCCATGGCATAACTCAGACAACCAACAGTACTAACATTGAAGCATGGGACAAATGCTCCACCTCCATCCAAGTACACAGTGACACATTAAACAATTTATAAGATGTAGCGAAAGGGGTACTTACAGAATTTTGAAACTGCATGTTGAAGTGCCTCGGTGCTTTTCTGACGTAACTCTTCTGAGTCACTCGCAACATTTCAGCATTCTCTCTCTACATCTCCATACCCAAAGTTGTCTATATTGCACCCAAATTATCTATTTTAATATTTGCATACAATTGTCGTCCTATCTCATCCACTTCTGCCGACCACCTCGAAGCTTCATCAACTACGACCTCGAAACAACCATCAACTACTATGAAATCTAGTGACTTTGCAGACACTGTCACGTGTATTGTACTCTGAACATCTAAGCTCTATCTGAAGTTCCACTTGTCTAAACACTGTCTAGATCTTTCTCCAGAATTGATCTCTCACTCCTCTTTGAAACAGAGCAGATTCGTCAAAGATGACATCTTTGCCAAATATAAAACTGGGTGAATCCTCTTCAGTACACCATAGCTTGTATCCCTTCACCTCACTTTCTTATGCATAGTTACAATGCACCATCACTCACGCGAGCATAAGTAGGGCAAACGAACACGATCAATTTGGTCTCAGGAGTTTCCAATCAATTGTTGGAGATGGTGAATTGTTCAATAACCAACAAATGGTATTTATTGCTTCAGTTCAGAAATCTTCATCTAATCCAATATTGAAGGGTAAAGGGCGAGCTCTTTCCAATATAATTCTATTTGTTAGTTTTGCCACTCCGTTTAGCTGTGGTGTGTTGGTAACAATGCAATGTTTCACTATGCCTTCCTCTGTGTAAAATTGGCCAATCTCATCAGTTAAGAATTCCAACTCTTTATTAGTCCTTAAGCACATGATCTTTCTTCCTATAAGCTTTTCAATTATTTCCTTCCACGACTTGACCAAGCACCTCACTCTTGTGCTTAAGAAAACAAATGCAGAATTTCCTCGAAATGTCATCAACAAAAGACAACACATACCAGGCACTCCCCCAGGACAAAACTTGAGAGGGTCCGTATAAGTCTGAGTGTACACAGCCTACAATCTTCTAGGTCAGTGAGCTGCAGTAATGAACTTCACTCTCCGCTGACTACCCATTTTAGAGTATTCACAAAAGTTTAGTTTCTCAATCTATGGCCTCCTAATAAACCCCTATGACTTAGAATAATCATCTCACTCTCACTCATGTGTCCAAGTCTCTTATGCCACAACTGTTGTATCTTGACCTAAAGCATAAAACAATCTAGTAGATTAGCCAATTACTACCTTTCCCTCGAGGCTATACAACCAATAGTCTATCTCTCCCGCATCACAAAAAGCATGACTTGAGAAACCTTCAAAACTCCAATTTTAGTAGGAATTCGGTATTCAAACTTGTTAAGAGCACTCAATGAGATAAAATTTTTTCTCAGCTCCGGTAAATGCCTTATGTTAGTCAATGTTCTCACCACTCCATGGTGCATCTTAATATGAATTGTTCCAATCCCTACCACTTTACAACCAGCACCATTTCCCATAAGCATCTTACCACCCTCTGTGTATTTATAGGTAGTAAAACAGTGTCTATAAGAAGTCACATGATAAGAACATCCATAGTCAAGTACCAATCATCACCTGACGAACTCGTGGTGATTGTTAACACAACATCAGCATCACTAGAACTATTATCTGTTGTGGTAACATTATTATTATCGGCTACAGACTTTACCTTAACTCCTTTACCGTTGTACTTTGGGCATTCTTACCTGTAATGCCCTACCTCATCATAGTGATACCATCCACGATATTGGACCTCGATGTAGGACGGCTGTTCTTGCTACCTCCAAACTCTTTTTGTTCGTCTCTACCTTGGATAACCAAACCTCACACCGTATTTTGGGCTAAGTTATCTTCTCATAGTCTCTTTTGCCACACTTTAGAAAACAATAATCCAATAATCGTAGTGAGCCCGTTTAGCAGTGAATCTATTAAGTGCTCAAAAGAATTCGGTATAGATGCCAACAATATAATACATTGTTTCTCATCAGGCAAAGCCTCACTGACATTCTTCAAGTCCATCATGAGTTTATTAAACTCATCTAAGTGGGCCCTGAAGGCAACCGTCCATAATCGAAACATCCTTTTCAACATATACAAGCGATTATTCAAATCCTTCATCAGATAAAGTGCCTCAAGTTTTGTCCACAATGCTGCAACATCCTTCTCTTCGGCCACTTCAACCAATATCTCATCCGATAGGTTCAACATGATTATACTCCTTGTCGTTCTCATTAGCACGTCCTTTTTGGCATTTTTCAATGTTTCATGCAACTTAGTCTTGCTCTCCAATGCTTTAACCAAACCTTGAGTCCTTAACAGCGCCTCCATCAAATGATGCTTCATAATCTAAAGTTGTTCCTCCCGTTAAACTTCTAAATTTATACTTTTGCTTGAGAGATAATTGCAACAACAAAATTTCCAAATAATAATTAGACAAGTAAAAGCCCTTAATCAAAATTCAGAAAATCCCATCCTCAATATGATCTTGCAATTAAATCAATGCGAAAATTACCAGAGAAATAAACGAGGAATAATAAAGTACACTAGAGATTTACTGGTTTGGTCTGAGTGTCGATACCTACTTTACGGGAAGAGCCAGCATAAATAATTCATTTATCAAATTGAAAAATCAGAATTATAATTGCTTATGCACTCGAGTGTTTCCCATGCTTCTATAATACCCAAAATCAGAGTGCTTAGGCTAACGAAGAATTACCTTGCAACTCGAAACGCTCACGTCTCCGTAAGGGAAATGTCTCAACTGGACGTAGGATCCCTGCACAAATCATCGTGTGTACAAGGCCAAGAAAGTTCGGCTCGAAAACTTCACCGGAGGTGACCTTGAACACATAGTTTTTGTGCGGCCATAAGGTGATGATCCCCTTCTTTTGTCCTCTTGTGGCTTTCTTCAGAGAGCTCACTGTTTTGTTCTGGCTTCATAAAGGAGAGCCCACTGTGCGGCAATCGATAAAGAAAGTCAAAGCTCAAGTTGGGATTCTTCTTTATCCGGTCTAACCTTGGAGACTTATCTCCAGCAAATAACAAACCCTTAAGTGAATTTGTGTGAAATTCTAATTCAATGAAGAAGGTGATCCGTTGGGATTTCTTTCATTTTCTAACGGATTTGGTTTAACTAACCGATCTTCATTCTCCAATGGGATCGGGTTTCGTACGCAGGCTCAAACTCGAGACATAATATTAACAAAATGAATGAAGAATGGATTTCAGCTCTAGTTTTGATCAACAAATTCGAACGTCTATTGTAAAGTTGGTATCCTTTTAATTGTTTCCGATATGTCAAATCCTATTCTTGGATTGCTCTAGTAGTTCTTACGCACACAAAAAGGAACTTGGATGTGCAAGAACCAATTCAAAGAGATGAATCACTCAGCAAGATAAGAAGGCGAAATATATTAAAAGTCTTTTATGTTTCGTTGACATTTGCTACACATAATAAAAAACTCATTACGATTCTAAACATATAATAATGTAGCAGAGTTGAGCTCCTATTTCGGTAGTCGATACTTTGGAAAATGATTTCTTAACGACCCGGTCAAGATTAGGTCGATAAGTCCAATTGTTTTGACCAAAAAGAGAGGGTAGTCATCAAACGGACCGAGCTATCTGGTGAATGAGAGCTGCTCCTCAAATGATCGTTCTTGCCATAAGCTTTTCTTAGTCCAAAATTTAAACTGTCAGGATAACAGGGTAGGTTAAAATTATTCAAAAACGAGTAACATGAAGTATGACCGGCCTCATATGAACTCTTTCTTCTAAATGACATCATTATTCATCATTTTATATGCCCAATTGTTACAAATTTTGGTTAACGTTGACATAGGGAAAGCAGAAAGAAAACCAAATGGGAAGACCTTCACGTTGTTTCTCAAGCAAGCTTGAATTCAATGATCGTCTCCTGCGAACCGCCGAGAATTCCTTCGGCAATGATTCACGGCAGCATCGCCTTCTCTTTCTCTACCTTTCGAATCTTCTCTTTCACCCTCGTATTGGTTTTCGGGTTATTACAGTTTTCTTACTAAAGTTTCTGTTATATCCTCAGCCAATAGAGTTGTTTTTTCCATTGATCTGCCATTTGAACATCTTTGATCTAATTAGCATCATAATTAGTTACCCAAGTGCGTGTGCACACATGACAAATCTTTACCATTGTTGATCACATTCGTATTATCAAATTCTTCAAAAAATCCAGGCTTAGAAAGATGGATGGTATAAATGTGTGCAAGAGCGACTTTATCTCTCGACCGGGGTTATTAGCAAGATATACATTCTGAAGTATCTAATTAGAAGAGCTTGGCAATTGCTTCGGTTGACATTCAAAATATAAAAAATACACTTTAAACTTCAAAGCAGTGCATTACATTGATACAGACACAGACTAGAAAATGCATTTATTTGCCCCAAAACCAAAGTTAGCTACTTGCTACTTTTGGTTAGGAACCACATTATTGTTTCTTATTCTTTCACAAAACCAAAAATTTCGAACACACAAGCACACAGCATTATTGCACACAAAGGCTCTTGTTTCTTTGAGGGCCACACCAACTTAAACAGATCCCATCAAGGTTTAACTGTGAAGTCGAAGTTGGCGCAAGTAGTGGTGTAGCCCAGCAGCGAGGAACTGAACCCCAACGTCGATTGAGCCAGATCGAACACGAGGAAGTTGTCCTCCATTTGGTGAGACCCGATCGCCACTGCATGCTTGGCCGCCTTCCCTCCGTCTACGAAGGCCAGGCAGGCCACATCCTTGTTCACTTGCTTCATCGAGTTCGCTCCATAGATTGTCCAGGTCTTCCCACCCGCCACTTGCAGACTGATCTGGGGAACCTGTAAACCTAACCGAGTCGACGCAATCGTGCTTGACTTGAGACAATACTCAAAAGGCTTCACCTTTTTCGTTTCAGGAATGCCCTTGGTGGCTATCTTGAACTCCTTGACGAAGACATCGAAGATATCGCTCCTGAGAATAGTGTAAGGAATCACTGTGCTCAGCACCATGCCTCCTCGGCCAACAGAATCAATGGAAAATGCTTTTCCCGGGATACGGACCGCCTTCCCAGCAATTGATATGCTGTCAAGGCCGATGTAGTAGTCAGATGATTTAGGGTTCTTTATCAATGGGGTGTAGGAGAGAAATCTGGATACATCAACCAAGGCAGGGCTCCTAAAGAAATATGGACCGCTTCCAAAGAAAAGCGTGCCCTTACCATTAGGAACACTAGGAAGACACATTGCGAATCTCTTGGTTATTCCCAGCTGAGGAGGGGTTAGTTGTGTAGAAAGAGCGAGAGGAGCCCACGAAAGGGAAGCCCAACCGGTAGTGCCTGAAGGAAGAGACTTCAAAAGGTACCCAGGAGCACAAGACATGTATATGTCATTCAAATTTATAGAACTTGTCGGGTTTCCGCCATTTGTTAGATAAAGCGTGATGTTCTGGTACGTGAGGTCGGAGAGACCGCAGGATTTGGTAAGTGGGTTGACGGGAGTCGTGATGCAATTTTGGCAAAGGTTGTTGGTGGAGCTGCTGGATGGAGGGCAAAGCGGGGAGAGGTAAGGCCTCGCCGACACACATGGCGGAGCCTTGCAAGTCACGAGAGGGTGCTTGTACGGGCAAGTGTACCACGAGAATGGAGCGCCGAGATCGACGATGTAGTTCTCCCGGAAGTTGAGGGTCGTGGAGTAGAGAGAAGTGGTGGTGTCTTTGGTGATAGGTGCAACTAGGGTTTTGTAGGGCTGAAATGCTGAAACATGAGAGCCAGCAAGGGCAAGTGCAAGGAGCACTAAAGCTTGAACTAGATACATTTTTTCTCTCTTCTTGGATTGGATTAGTGTTCAGGCCTTGAGGGATGATTTTGCGTGATTGGAGCAGGTGGCTACTTATAGGGAAAGATAAGCTTTGACTTCTTGAGATCGATCAAGGAAACAATCGGTGGGACTAGAGAGCATATCCTCATGATAAACAGTGTGCTTACGCGAGCACAAGACTTCTACTGATTCTGACCAAAGCTACTAAATACGGGCAATTGCTGTTATCTAGCTGCAGCTGTATTGACTTCTTCATTATTCGAAGAGAGAACTAATCTCTGTACGTTGATGAGATGAGTGTATTAAATAATTCAAAAGAATTTGCTTGTTAACCATACTTAATCATAAAAATTCAATTTGCAAAATATTGTTCACTCGTAAAATGAGAAAAGTACTGCATTGAAAATTAAGAATTTTACTAAATTGATTGCTTAACAATTGCCCGGTAATCCCTTAATAGACTCCTAATAAAAAATGAATTATTAATTTTGCAATTATGAGAGTAGGCTTTCAAAAAGCATCATCAGAGCATTAATAAAGAATTACACAAACTTCTTTTTAGAACAAAACTAATAAGTAAAATATGAGCAGGTATTTATATTAAGACATAACAAAATGATGAAGAGTATCAACCTATTGAGAATTACCTCGCAGCACGAAACACTCACGTTTATGTAAAGCAAACGTCTCAATCGGACGTCGGATTGTGGCCAAGAAAGGAGAAAATTATCCAAAAAAATCTTAAACTTATTGCACTTTTATCAATTCAGTCTTAAACTTATTAACTTTTCCAATTGAGTCATAAACATTTTTACATTTTACAAAAAAAAAAGGAAAAAATTGAAAAAATATTAAATTATTATTAAAAATTATCTACGTCAGCGCCGGCCGTGTCACATAAGACGCCCGATATCCACGTCAGTGGTTTCCGGCCAAATTAGCCAAATTGACTCAATTGGAAAAACGTAAAAATGTTTAGGACTCAATTGAAAAAAATTAAAAGGTTTAGGGTCAATTCCACGAAAAATCTTAAACTGATACACGTGATAAATTTACCTAAAACTAATTTTTTAGCACGAAAAACCCCAAACTGGTACACCTGTGATAATTTTACCCTCCATTAGTTTCCGTTAAATTTTACCGTCAAATTTCTGAGTTGAATGACAAGTGACGGTTGACGAGTGTATTAATTTGGGGTTTTACCCTACGTTTATCACAGGTGTACCGGTTTGGGGATTTTTCGTGGTATTAATTCAATTTAATAGAGGGTAAATTTGTCACAAATGTAATAGTTTACGGTTTTTTGTGGTCAAAAAATTAGTTTAAGGTAAATTTGTCACAGATGTACCGGTTTATAATTTTTTATAGTTAAAAAATTAATTTTGGGTAAATTTGTCATAAGTGTATCCGTTTGGAATTTTCGTGGTATAAATTTAAAGATTTATGACTCAATTGATAAAAATATAATATATTTAGCAAATTTTGCTGCCAAGAAAGTCCCGCTTGGAAACTTCACCGGGTGTGACCTTAAAGACATCGTTTTTATGCGGCCATAAGATGATAATCCCCTTCTTTTGTCCTCTTGCGGCTTTCTTCAAAGAGCTCACTGTTTTGTTCTCTCTTGTGCGGCTCCATGAACGAGAGCCCACCGTGCGGCAATCAATAAAGAAAGTAAAAGCTGAAGTTGGGATTCTTTCTTTATTCTGTCAACCTTGGAGATTTATCTCCGACAAATAACAAACATTCTTGTGAATTTGTGTGGCCTTCAATAAAAGAAATTCTAATTCAATTAAGAAAGTGATCTGTTGGGATTTCTTTTTATTTTCTAATGGATTTAGTTTAACAAAATGATCTGCATTCTCCAATCGGATCGGGTTTGATACACAAGCTCATATTTGAGAAATAATATATTAATAATTTGCACCTTGGCTCGATGTTTGCAGCCAAATCACAGTGTTCATCAATCATGTTAGCTCTCCCAATGCTCCGACAACCGCTTAACTATCACAGACGTCTATCAAGCCCAAGCAGAGCTTGAACTTGTTTGGAAGAATGAACTCGATCCACATGTCCATAGGATTCTCTGACGCAAGAAACTTTTTGGTTTCTCTCCTGACATGTTATATCTGACACAGAAATTTCCGTCACTAATGAACTCGATACTCTAGTGATATCTCTTATTTCTATCGAACACCACATCAACCAGATTTCTCATGTCAACATCATTAACCAAGGCATTAGACCACACCACCTCTTCAACTCCTTTCGTTGTTGCCATGTCTCTATTCTCAATCATTAACGAAACCATAGTGTCTCCCAACGATGCCTTCCAACTCATAGCACAACTAACAGAAGTAAAGGCATAACTACTTAGATTTACCTTCTTTTAGGTTCTTTGCAAGAACCGGGTTCATAAACCTAGTTACAGCCACACTACCTAAATGACATCCTTTGAAACATGTGCCACCATTTGTCATCCTTAATAAAATCAGGAGGATCCACCTAACAACATCACAATTTATACCTAGATTAATAGTATACAATCTCTTGATTGCATGTGATAGATCAAACCTAGTACTATCCTTGGCATAACTCAAACAACCAACAATACTAACGTGCGAAGCATGAGACAAGTGCTCCACCTCCATCCAAGTATACAATGACATATTAGACAATTTATAATATGCAGTAAACGGGATACTTACAGAATTTTTCAATTACATGTTGGAGTACCTTGACGTTTTTTCGATGCGACTCTTCTGAGTCACTCGCAACATTCCAGTAGTCTCTTTATACACCTCTATAACTGAAGCTGTCTCTACTACACCCAAACTTTTCTATTTCAATTTCTGCGTACTATTATTGCTCTATCTCATCCACCTTCGTTGACCATCTCAAAGCTTCATCAATCATGATATCGGAACATCTGTTAACTACTATGGAATCTAGCGACTCTATAGACACTGTCACATTTATTGTACTCTGAATATCGCTAGATCCTACCTGAAGCTCCAACTGTTTTTGAACACCTTCCAAATCATTCTCCACAATTGATCTCTCACTCCACCTTTGAAACAAAGTAGATTCATCAAAGGTAACATCTCTGTTGAACATAAAACTGGGTGAATCCTCCTCAATGCACCACAACTCGTATCCCTTCACCCCATTTGCATAACCTAGGAATATGCACTTTCTTACCTTCGGCTCTAGCACGCCATCACTCACACAATCATAAATAGGGAAACCAAACACTCTTAGTCTAGTATAATCAGCAGACTTACCTGACTATGTTTCCTCAAGAATTTTCCAATCAATTGTTAGTGATGACTAATCTGTTCACTAACCAAAAAGTGGAATTTAATACTTCAGCCCAGAAACCTTCATCTAATCCAGTATTGAAGCGTAAAGAGCGAGCTCTCTCCAATATAATTCTAGTCATCATTCCTGCCACTTTGTTTAGCTGTGGTGTGTCAGCTACAATGCGGTGTTTTACTATATTTTCCTATGTGCAAAACTGGCAAAGCTCATTATAATAGAATTCCAACCATTTATCAGTTCTCAGGAACATGATCTTTCTTTCTATCTGCTTTGATCATCGCCTTCCACGACTTAAACCGACGAAGCACCTCACTCTTGTGCTTAAGAAAATAAATCAAGAATTTCCTTCAAACGTCCTCAACAAAGGACAACAAATACCTAGCACCACCTTCGGATCGAAGGGTACCCATAAGTCTGAATATACACAGCCCACAATTTCTGAGGTATGGTGAACTGCAGTACTGATCTTCACTCACTGCTGACTACCCATGTCTTAGTGTTCACAAAAGTTTAGTTTCTCAATCTAATGACCTCCTAGTGGACCCCTCTAACTCAGAATAATCATCTCCCTCTCATTCATGTGTCCAAGTCTCAAATGATCTGGCAGTCCAACTGCTTGACACACTTCGGCAAGCTTGAATAAGGGAGGTGCGTAGAGAGGAGCCTCGGTTCCTCCATGTGATCAAGATCGAATCTCGGGTTATGCACGAACAAGTCAAACTCGAAGCAAGGGATGAGTTTATGGGGGCTTGAAGTGAGCGAGGGCATGCTTGAGACGTCGAAGCGGGAGCGATTGACAATGGAGAATGCTATGGCCATTAACTAGGTGCTCCCCAATTTGGGGTCAGAGGCAACAACAATGTCCTTGTCTTTGGCCTTGAAGTGCCTCTGGGACGCGACCACATTAGGAAGCACGAAGATCGGGCACCAAAAGTTTTGGAAAAGGCAACAAGGAGGAAGGCTTGGAACTTTCTCTTGGGGAAGTGAAGCAATCAGCTCATCAATGCCCTGATGCTCGCCTTCTCCCATTCCCATGGTGTTTCCGGAGCGAAACTCTCAATGGTTTTCATATCCTTTTTCACTGTTTTATAATTGTTGCATACCCCCAATCACATGAAAAAAACGACATTATGAGCCCCATGTGAGATTATTATGATCGAATGGCTGAGATAAAAAGTCCCAATTGTACCGCATTCACGCAAATCATGTCTATTGACTTCTTGTGCATGCGCCTTAATCATGTTAAGAAAATGCACGTTTCTTTGGGGGACCTCCGGGTGCTTTATTAGCATGCTGGTTGAGTCATTGCCACATCTTCGATTGAGTAGTTGATTGGGTTTGATTTGAGATGTCTCCTGCTGCTTTTTTTTTTCTTTTCCTTTTGGGGTCCGAAAGTGGCAATTCGATCGCTTGATGGATTCAGCAAGCATGGGTAGGGAACGGGTGAGGAGAACATCCTTGGTTCCGGGAAGTCATGAGATTGGTTCTCGGTTTATTTGCATACCAGGTGAAATCCAAAAAAGAGACAAGTTCGTGGGAATTGGAAGTGAGCAAGGACAAGTTTGAGATATTGAAGTGGAGAACACGGGCTTTTAGCCAAGCGGTTCCTGCTTTGGGCTGAGAGGCTAGAAGAATGTCCTTGTCTTTGGCTTTCAAGTGCCTCCATTGGAAGGATGATG